TACATCTCCACAACCTATATAATAAATACATAAACAGATAAATACGTTGACTAACAAATAAATAGACAGACATAGATAGATACAGATATAAAGATATAAAAATAAAACACTAATATAGAAATAAAACTATAAGAACTAAAGAACTAAAAATAAATATGATAAACAAATTTCTAACATTGATCATGCTTCCAAGATCGAGACCTTACTAAGACCGGACACAAACATAATGCTCGTATTTTCCTTTTTATAGGTTATTTCTCTCTCAGATACGTGTCACTTCAAAGATGAACTTCATCACGATCTTCAGAATAAAAAGAAGAGGCAATACATTTTTTTTCTCCTTCCTTTTCTTCGAAATTTTGTACGATTTTTGTGGCATAGAAATGTTTGTCGCTATCTCTGGCCAGTATAAGCAGATGACGAGAGTGTTTTTTTTTTCTTTAATGCATTCTTATGAATATGCAGTTACGTAATATCACGTATACAGTGTATAATACATTAGCCCGTCATACTGGCCCAACGAACAGGAATCTAATGAGTGAATGTGTTTGTAATAAATGCAGCATACTATGAGCCTGTAACGCATGAAGCATATTAGTAGATGTGCCTGCAACACATGTTATGCGTGTATGTGTTTGTAAAACTAGCCGGACTCTCATAACAGAATGTGCTTGTACCACAAGTACGAATCTTATAGGTCAATGTGTAGACTGGATAAAGTCGAAACTTAGGTCCAGGAGAGCTGATGACCATCTGGGAGCCAGTAATGGTTGTTTATTTTTAAGGAGTAAAGTTTGGGCCTGTAGCTCTATGTGTAAAAAAAAGCCATCTCGAGTGAAGATAATTTTGCCATTGTTGTTTTTGCAAATAATATAATAGTAAGAAATAAAAAAAAATGTTTGTAGTTCTTACACCTTTGTGCATACATTCATCGGGTATACCGCAATAATCACGTCATAAATGGGTCATAGACAAAACTGAGCACATCAGCAGTATGGCAATAATGATGTTTTCTTTCCATGTTTGCAACTGTCAGAGAGACGTGGGAGGTAGGAACAGGTTTCCCCATATGGCCATTCTCTCCCTTGTAGACAGTCTTTGCAGTCAGTGTTTCCCATCCCTGCTCTTCCCCTTCTGTTCGTGATTATATCCCCTTTATGCAAATCCGTTCAGAATGGTTGTCCTTACCCTTACGATCATTAACTCCCTTGTGGTCATTCTTTTCACAACGGATACTCTTCCCATTGCCATTATCCCCCCTCCCCCCCCCCTTACGACCATCCCGCTTTCTTCTCCTTTTAGTCATTTTTTTCACATCGCAGTTATACTCTCCCCTTCTACCCCCTCCCCCCCCCCATTCCCTAGTGTCTCACCTGACATAATTCCTCCCTTAAATATGCAATGCCCCATGAGAATTTAGTGCACCTGCGAATGGCACTTGCTTTGAATCAACCTTAGCTGACCAATCCAATGGAAGAGCAACTTAGCTTCGCTGAACCACGAAAATTCAGTTACAAACGTCAAAATATGAATAGCGTTATAGTGGGATAGGTCCCGCTTGAAACTACATTAGTTTGTAAATGAAAATGAATCTATCCAATCGCTGAATAACTGCTAAATTTTCTTTGTCGGTTTGCAGGTCGCTTCCAGTGTATAAAGCAGGCGTTCAAAGGCTTAATTATGGAAGTAAAGAGGTAACTTTGTCACTATGATAAAATTGGATTGACCGAGGCTGCTCAGTGGGATTATAATAGTTTTTTAATTATTCATATTTTGTCTTTAGATTTTGAAATGAATAAGCATTTTTTACATATAAGGGAAAACAGTTCTAAGCTTGAAAGTCAGATATTTGACGAAATGTTCATAAAATCTAATAAAGTTGTACACGAAAGTCCATTTTCTGTAAATAAAAAATAAAGAAAACGGGGTACTATGACGTCATAACATGAGCACCAATGGGAGCGTCTGTCGCGCAACGTAAACAAATAAAGTAAACAAAAAGCAGTAAGTCTAGCAGGCAGTAATAACAAATGAGGCTTTCCGTGGACAAGGGCCGATTGCGCCGCCCCCATTTAAAATGAATCGTGCGCGTTATCTACAGGTGGAAGCGTTGCAAATATCGGTGAGGAGCGATTTTCGGGCTTAGTCTACAGGTGCCATGGCGAGCGATGCCAACCGGGATAACGCCAATGCCCCGCCGCTCGTGCCCTCGCGCAAAAGAAGGCCCCAGACTTGGTCAGAGTCCCAGAAGAAGGCCAAAAGAGACAGTGGCGAGGGCTGTGTCGACAGGTCTGGGGCTGTTGTGGAGGAGAAGAGGGTAGGCCCGGCGTGTACCTGTAAGAACAAGTGTTACGAAAAAGTTGGGGTGGAGAATGTTAACTGTTTATTTAAGGCTTACTGGGCATTGAAGAACCATGACCTTCAATCACAGTATATTAATGCCAGGGTGCACACAGAGGAAATTGCAAGGCCTAAAGGGAAGGGAAGGGAAACTAGAAAGAAACAGGGAAGAACTTACACAGTAGTGGTTGATAATGTTCCTATTAATGTCTGTTTCATTGCCTTTCTAAATATTCATGCCATTACTGACAAGCAAGTGCAAAATATGTTAGCCAAGGCCTCACTCTCCCCCAATGCCACCCCTGCCACGGACCAACATGGACACCAAGAACCCTCAAACGCAATGGCCTCAAAGATACCCGAGATGGTTGAAGAGTTCTGCAAAGAAGTCACTACATGCCAGTCCCATTCCTCAAAGGCAAGAAGCTCAGGCAAGGTGTCCCTACCCCTAGGGTATACCTGGACCAACCTTTATGAATTGTTCCAGGATTACATGGAGGAAGAAGGACTGGATCGTAATGCCGTTATTCTCTCCCAGTTCATAGCCAAAGTACAGGATTACAAGATAAGCATCAGTGCCCCCAAAAGCAACACTTGCTCTACCTGCGACTCATTTAGGATACAGTTCGAATCTCTGGATCCTGTGGCTGACAAGGAAAAGATTGCGTCTCCAACCCTCAATAGGTATGAGCATTATAACTTCATTGTATCAGTCATTATTAATATAATGGTAATTATACACACAGTAAAACAACCTGTTGCAGATAAGAAAATATTTTTTTTATTGATGATTATAGTAAAAATATTGATTATTGAAATTTTGTCTGAAATTTTCATATGTATCTTAGTTTCATTGGCATCTAATACAAATGCAGTTGCATGTTTTACTCTGTGTGTGTGTATGTGTATGTGTGTGTGTGTGTGTGTGTGTGTGTGTGTGTGTATGTGTGTGTGTGTGTGTGTGTGTGTGTGTGTGTGTGTGTGCGTGTGTGTGTGTGTGTGTGGTTGTGTGTGTGTGTGTGCATGTGTGTGTTTTTGTAAGGGAAAGCTTACTTCATACTTTTATTTATGCAAATGTCACTATGATATATTAACAAGGAGATGTTGCAGAAAGGGTTTTGGAGTTACTTAACCCAGTCACTACAGATTTATGTGCTGTCTCCTGTGTTTTTTATGGATTTTGTTACATGCAGATGGCTCCACATGTTCTCTGCCAGCAAGAAGCCTGTCACTAGGCCTGAGTGACTGCTCCTGATTTCCCCATTCCTTGAAATTGTGGGAAAATGTGTTTTTCTTTCTAATACTATAGATATCAATATTTTTATTATTCTTATTTATATTATGGTCATTAAATTGTTACTAAAATCTTGGGAACATAAAAGACATGAAATAATACAGAAGAAACTTTCCAAGAATCAAGGAAAAGGGTAAACAGGTGAGATAGGTAGGACTAATAACTGACTCCTTGGTGACTAAGCACTTGTAGAGCCATCTATGTGTAAATACAATAAATTAATTTATATTACAGTGGCATGGCATGTATTCTTCCTATCCGTTTCAATTGGGTTAACATAGTTTATATGAATATACAAAGAATGGTACAGTTCACTATTTGACAGTCAGGCTTTCATGTTGGAATGGATACTGAGCTGAAATCAGAGACACAATATCTCTGACATTTCTTGTGCAAATTTCAAATAAGGAAGATATGTGATATGTATAAAAAAAAAATGGTGGATAAGTGCTTTGAACTATCCATGAATTTCTTTTAAGTATATTAGGGGATACGTAGAGGAAGCTTTAAGATGTCTCTCTCTTTTTTTTTTTTAAGCTGGCATTTTCATGCATAGACAAATATGTAAGGTATGGATAATATGAACATGTTCATTTCAGTTCACACGCAGACCCAGTGTCAGTTGATGATACAGCCAGATCAGCATGTAAGACAGCTAGAACACCTTATGCCACCAGGTCCAAGTCCAAAAGAAGGAAGGCTAAAAATTCAGAGGTTTGGGTTAGACCACAGTAATGTCATGTGGTCTGTTCATTAGTTAAGGAGGAATCATTTATCCCCTCACATTTAGATGTCTTCCCAATGCCACCAGGAATATTTAATATTCTTTGTAGTATTGTTCTGTGAAATATATTTACACATAAATGGCTCCACAAAGCCATCAAGGAGTCGATTATTAGACCTTGTGACCTCACCAAAGTTCTCCTTTCCTTGAGTTTTCAGGATTTTTTTCTTTCTTTCTTTCTTTTTTTTCTTAATGTGATAAATTATGATGCTGTTGACATTGTAATTATTACAGTATTAGTAACACTAATTATAACCATATAGAATTTAAAAAAATTCAAAAATCAATGAAAACAGTGAACAGGTGAGATAAGTAGAATTAGTAATTAACTCTTTGGTGACTGAGTACTTGTAAAGCCATCTATGCATAAATAGTTAATAAGCTAAATTCACAGTAGGACATGGTATGTACATATATACCATCCCTGGCAGCATTGGATTATGTATTACATTTTATGAATAGAAATAAATCTTGTACTTATGAACAAAATATAACTTAACAGATCTCCATAGCTTTATTCATAAGAGCCATGCATAGCTAAAGTCTGATTAACTCACTAACCTTCAAGAATCTTTTTAGTGCTTTGTCTTGTCAGGAATAAAGACTGCAGTTAAAATATTAAAGACCTAATTCTCACCTATCCAGACCTTCCCTTCAGAGGGTTTCCTCTCACTCCAGTATAATAATAAGCATTCATCATATTTTGGGGGGAAGGAAACACAATCTACTATTACTATAAGCACCAAACATCCCCAGATTGTGAGAGATTCTTAGTGTTTAATGGTAATGGCATTGTGCTGCTGGAGGGGAAATTTATGAAGAAAATTGATAGGAAAGAACAAAACAACCCCAACTGACTATACTTTAGGGCCAAAGGCATTCAGTTGGGAAGTCCAAAGTTTTTTTGTGGTGAATTTTTTTCACCATCCTTTATAGAAATTACTTTTGAAAAAGGGTATATGCTGCTCTCTTTCTATATTGAACTTTTTTGTTAAATTTAATTAGATTACCATAGTCTGACAGTGGATCATGAACAGCATTACACTTTATGTTGGATATACGCTTCAGTATATATCACACAGCTATTAAATTTCCCAATATCATATATTTAATTGGAAATGTTTTGCATATGCTCCACTATTCAATACCATTGGTAATAATGGTCTGATATACCTTTATAGTGCTTTTTTTCTTTTTTTTCTTTTTGTAGAAAACCTCACTCTTCTATCAGAGGAGTGATGAAGTTAGAAATAAGTTTCATAAATGTTATTACACTTTCTGTTTTATCCTCTTAGTTTCTTAACTTCACAGAAAAAGAGAATTTCACATTATGTACACTACTATCAGAACTCATATCAAGAAAGGACAAAGTTTTCTTTCAAAAATAGCCATGTTATTGATTGATAAAGCTATTTTTTTTTTCTCTTTCTTTCTTTCTATCTTTTATGTATCTTGCAACTGATATGCCTAATAAGCCGCTCTTTTACTTTAAGGAACTGGAGAAAGACCACGCAAGTGCTGAACATAAAAATGAACTGCAAGCCAAGAGGCTGAAAGGAGATGAATTTGCTGTAAGTTTAATGTAGTCTTATTGTGTTTAGAGAGCATTTCTTTCTTTCTTTCTTTCTTTTTTTTCTTCCTTCCTTCCTTCCTTCTTTCTTTCTTTCCTTCAGTATTTGGTGAGAGTGTGAGAGCAAGCAAGCGAGCACAAGTGGAGTGAAATAATGTAGATGTCCCCTCTGTGTTTCAGGGCAGCAGTCCATCAAGTGGAATCTACACCTTTCCAGCATGGGTCAAAGAAGAACCACCCGATGAAACTCACACTCTGGAGCATACAGATGATCAAGTAAGACAGTAAACTAAAAATATTGGATGAAGTACATTGACATACCATCATTATTGCCACAAAAAAGTACTTTGATTAGCAGTATAACTCTTCTCATATTTTCTTTTAGCAGTTGATTATATTTATCCATATATAATAGTAATTGTGATGTCTTTTGCAGGTGTTTATCAAACAAGAAGTTATATATAAAGAAGAGGTGTTTGGAGTTGATGAGAATGTTGAAAATCAGGTAATTTACCCTCTTCCTAACGGTGCCAGCAATGAATCATCAGCATCAACATCTTTAGGAACTTTAGACTGTTCAGAGCTCCACAAGTGTCTGTTGAGGACAAAACCCAACAGCATAAGCCACTTGAACCCTCCTCATATTCAACCAAACAGCACAGTGAATTCACACATCCTTGAAAAAAAGAAAGAAACCTTGTAAGTATAAACAGTGTATGTACACACACACACACACACACACACACACACACACACACACACACACACACACACACACACACACACACACACACACACACACAATCTACACACACACAATCTAGACACACACATGTATATGTATATGCATCGGATACTTATGCAGCAAAGATGTAACATGTATTTTCATATGTGTCACATGTATATACTAATTTGAAATTATTTTTATTTCTAGAGTACTGGATGGTCTCCAGACAAAAATGAGGATGTCAAGGGACCTGTTAGAAAATATGTTACCTTCCATATATAACCACAAAGTAATTACATGTGATTATATGTCAGACAACAACATTCCTGGGCTCAACTTAGAAATTGATAGTACAATAACAACAATGGAAGACATCAAGTACTGGCTTCAAGAATTTAGCGAGCGTACCTGCACAAGCTGGAAATACAGCTACGGGATGGGCTCACTCAACAGATCATGCAAAGTTATGATAGTCTGTAATGGTATATTGAAATCTAAAAGGGAAAGGGGTAAAGGAGAACAAAATTGCAAAGCTTTCATTCACATCAGACTTAATGAGGAGAATGATAAGAAAGATAAGAAGATTGGTGCCATAGCAGAAGGCTTCTCTTCAAGAATAACCCTGTCTTTTGTTCACAACCATCCCGTAGTGTTGGAGGAAGCATTAGATTTCAAAAATATACGTCCAGATGTCATTGAGAATTTTCGTTATTATTTCTGCGAGGGACACAGCCCAGCCAGTGCCTTTCATTACCATCAAACCAGGCTCTGGCTGAGAGACTTGGCTGCTGAGTCATTGTATGATGATTCTATTAATCCAAAGCTAAGGACAGTTAGATACATGTGGGAATCATGGAAAAGGGATAAAAGACAAAAACCATTTAGGACTAAATCAAATGGTAATGTCAAGAAGTCTCTCATTGATGCTATTATTGAAAGACTACAAAAATTGAAGCATGAAAAGAAAGTAGAATATCTTATAGTGAAAAACATTCCATGTATAACTATAGTTACTCCTATGATGAAACGTGCACACACTACACCAGAAGCAGGGTTAACAGTTTATGTTGATACTGTCAATGGTGGACATGATAAAGGCAACATAACATATGTGACCTGTGCCACAGCTACTGGAGTGTTACCTCTTGGTGTTGTCATTACTGGCAATGTAACATGTGATTACAGAATTGCTTTCAAAAACCTATCAAAACTGGTTGGACAGAAAGCATTTGGAAGTCGTGGGGCACCAGTGATTTTTATTGTTGATGGTTTTGAATCTTGTAAAGAGGCTCTGAAGGACTGTTTTCCTGGAAGTCAGGTTTGGATTTGTGCCTCTCATCTTCTGCGATTGGTATGGGGGTGGCTCAGTGAAGTATCAAATGGTATTAAAGAACAAGACAGAACAATACTCATAGGCCTTGTGAAAAATATTTTGTATGCTCCAACACCTGAATTGAGTAGTCTGGCATACAAAATGATGTTAGCACACAGTATATTCAGACAGTATAGTGTTTTCAAAACATATATGGCAACATTATGGAATAGGAGAGGAGATATTGGATTATTCTATAAGTTGCCTATACTCAACAAGGAATTTAATGACTTATCAAAAAGAATATTTAGAGATGCTATCTTGAACAGATGTCGGTCTTTTAGCTTATTACTTCTCATTGATTTTGTGTGCATTGCAGTTGAAGAGTGTTTCCAGCAGAGAGTAACAGAGTTTATAGAAAACACTGCCTGTCAGCTTACTTTTTTAAGTTGTTTAGATTCTAAAAGTTTTCCAGAAATAAAGACCACAAAATCATATTATAAAGTAAATAGTATTTCAGATCAGAATATATGGCACACTGTGGATCCAGAACCTTCAATTTGCTCGTGTGAGTCTGGAAGAATTGGGGGCTTCTGTGAACACCAGCGTGCAGTTTGGAAGATAACGAGCAAGCAGCCTCTGGCATTACCTGCTCTTGATACATCAGACAAGTTGAGGTTTGCCAAGGTTGCCTTTGGAGGATTGGGTTATGAAAGGTTTAATAAGATAAAGTTTGATATGGTGTTAAAGTTGTTAAAGGAAAATTTAGCAAGGCTAGAAGGAATTGCTAGTCAGAATATTACCAATTCTTTTATAGGAAAGATGAAGAAGTTAAATGAGGCTCTAGGTAATATCTCTAATCTAGACGAACTAGGTAAATTCTGTGAATATGCCGGGAACATACATCAACCAAATGGTTTCCACACCCATACAGATGTTATTCAGCCAGAAGTTGATATGCTTCAGCCTCAAATCAGCATAGATCAGCCTCAGAAAAGCATTGTTGAAGCTCAAACAAGTATTGTACAGTCCCAGAGTGCAGTTACAGAGGGACTTAATAACTGTCAAACCAGAATTGTTCAACCAAGTGGGATCATTGAGTCCCAGTCAAGTGTAGGAGTTGGTCCAATCCAGTTTTTTGTTGTTCAGTCAGTGAACAAATGAATCAGACCCCATCAAATATGGAGGCTCTAGTATACAGCATTAGTACAGTACACAGGATAATTCAACCAAGAGACCATGTAAAACACTAGTACAGAATATTTGCTCTATATAGTGTCTATATCGTTTTATTGTTGTTGTTCCTGCTGTTATTATTGTTGTACTTCTCTTTAGAAAATAAATTGTGTTAGGAAGATCACATGAAGCTGTCTTGTGATATGTCTATTTTTATAATAAGATCTTTTTATAATTAGATATTCATTGCCCCTACAACTTCCCCGCGAAATTGGCTCCTTTTTTGGATGGCTTAATGCAGGTACACCATACATAATCCTCATTTATATATAAATTTTAACACACTCATGCACTCACTCACATATGTGTGTGTGTTCATACACATACATATCTATGTCTATATTTATATATCTATATACCTATATACCTATCTATGTATATAGATAGATATACACTGTTACCAAATTACATGGGCTCTTCCATTCCCTTGGATTACAGTAGTTATGTGAAAGATTAGGGCCTGCTCCAAAGGCAACATCTTGTCATGCATAGCACCCTTGCCTGCGCCCTGGGGAGGACACTCCATCACTCGCGAACAGGCGACACAGCACGAGAATTGCGAGTTGCCGGTTCTGATCCTGTCTGGACTGACGTACGAAAAGGAAAGAAAAAGATAAGAAAAAGATTTTTATATAATACACACATATAAGTGTGTGTTTATATGCATGTATGTATATTACGTAAATACGTATATATGTATAAACATATATAAATGCATATATGTGTATATGTGTATGTATGTATGTATGTATATGTATATATATATATATATATATATATATATATATATATATATATATATATATATATATTATGTATGCATTTATGTAAATATATACATATATATATATATATATATATATATATATATATATATATATATATATATATACATACATACATACACAGCAATATATCAAATACGTAATCATTTTACATGGGAGAGGAGCAGGCAGTAATTGTAGTTGAAACTTGGTAAGAATTTCAAACATGGAGTCATATGACGTAATGCTGACTACGGTGTGTTGAATGTTTCCAGTATCGTTGATTTGTTGATATACCACAGGCTAGTAAATGTCTGATCACTAGAATTATCCTGTTTGAGATTCAGATTTCAATACAATAAAATGCAAATTTTCAAGTAATATTACACTTCAGCGCGCGCGCGAATGTGTGCGCATATACATATATATACTTATTTAAATATACATATACACATATATAACCGATAACTATGTATGATCAATAAGAAAATAATGAAACCAGTTTTGACCTTGGAAATAACCTCCAGACGATTTATGTAAAAGGCGCTGATAGCTCCTGATTATCCGTCTACCCACTTATGTATTCCACCAAACAGCTGTTCTTCTCCAGGTGTCAGTACCCCTGCAATAGCTTTTTATATCGTTTTCCACTTTATCTGTTTGTCAGTTGGGTTAAATGAAAAGTTACAGACAGACTAAGCAAATTTTAAGACATCTTTTCCATTAATCCTGAATGAAAATAAATAATTTTTCAATATTTGTATACACATAGATAAATGTAAATGAACAGAAACACAGGCGAAAGATGAAAAGGAATTATTGAATTGAATTGAATTAAGCCACAATAAGAAATGAAACAATATCGTAACGTTTCGAACGCTTCACGAGTTCCACTTCAAAGGAAAAATTAACCGAAATGGAGACATGGAAAGAATTTTGACAAGATTATGAAAGAAAAATGCTAGAAGCTCTGTTATTCAGAAAATTACATCTAAAACTTTACTTGGTGCTGGTCGATGGGGTTTGGATGATCTTACCCTACCGTTAGATAGTAGAGCCTTCCCCTGACTTTGACCTTGACCCTCTTCCTGAGACATGATTCAGCAATGTTGTTACAAAAATGTTTATAATATAGTGATACCAGTTTTCAGTACTTTATGGTATGGTGAATTGAATACTTTTTTAATGTCGTAAAAATATATATCAAAATCTGTATGTTTTGCTACTGAAAGGGTGATATTAAGACCCTATGACGTACTAGTAAACTTATCGCCTTGAAGTATCATGCGTACTTCCCAATTTCTTCGTATACAAAAATGATAAATAAATAAAATGGAAGAAGTTGATGAGAAGATATGACCTTTCTCTAGCATTCCACCTCTTATATTTGAATAACTTGAGTAACAAAAGAGTGATAAAGTTGTGCAAAACCAAAGAAACAGTACGAATGTTTAAAAAAAAAAGAAATGGGACAGTGACGGAGAGTACAGCACGTAAGAAAACACATGCATCAGACCCCCCCACCCCCACCCTCACCCCACCCAGACAATAAATCCTAGAAAAGGAATGGTGCCCAACTACGTGCCCTGATTACGGCCCGTCTGCCAAGTATAAACTGTATACTCCACTGAGGCTTCTTGCCAGGTGAGGCGTACTCATGCTCGTAATGGAAAAAAAATAATGGTATTTGATAATTGTTACTCATTTTGAAGTTGTGTATGTTCATCTATTTGCATAATAGTTTATTCATATTCCCCCCTACATTCCAACAAAATCAAACAAAATGCACTGAAGTTGAATATCCGGGCATTTGTACTGCTTATTTGCTTCTCATTGTGTTTCTATTTTACCAAATATTACTCCCGCTTAAGATAGGTAAACTCGTTCAACATAAATGCATTTACTTTTTGTTTTTATTCGTATGTGGAATATACAACGAAACTCTGACCCCCTTTTCCTTAAATAGGTCGGACTCGACTAGCGCCTTTTCAGGCTTATAATTTGTGTATGTGTGTGTGTGTGTGTGTGTGTGTGTGTGTGTGTGTGTGTGTGTGTGTGTGTGTGTGTGTGTGTGTATGTGTGTGTGTGTGTGTGTGTGAGGTATATTATACACATCTTTCGAAGATTATCACGATGAACTATTTCGCAATACCTTATCCAATAATATCCCCGTATTTAGTTATTTAGTCATTTCGGAATTTTAAAAAAATAAAAATAACAATTCGTGCCGAGAGTCAGCAATAACTGGACGTAATCTTTCAAACATGAGAAGGCTATCGGTATTGAATACATTTTCAAATAAAACACAAATATAACGGTTAAAATATCCTCGCACAATTTTCCACTCACGGGATGGAGAGGCCTTGGCATGACGCAACTACCGGGTGAGTGGCTATGTACAGTATGTCATAAAGTGGCGTAAAAATGAAATAACACACACGCACAGACAGCGTTTTCTTTCTTCCTTATCGTTACAGATGTGCCTCACTCGATCTTTATACATCTGTTACCGGGTATTTTGTCTTTATGTTGTTTGTTTAACGGAGAATGGGAGATTGGAGAGAAATAAATAAATATGTGGATAATGTCAAAGATAACATGATGGTCAATAAACGTGAATGGTTTATTGAGCTATTTTCAAGATAAGAAAGAATATAAGATCATAAGAAAGAATATTTAGTAGGGTGCGCCGCACGTGCGCGCGCGTGTGTGTGTGTGCGTGTAAGTAATATAAATAAACAATAATTACAGAGTAATTAGTAAAACAATCAATGAATGAATAATGAATAAAACACATTTGGAAAAGGAACACAACTCATTTGGACAACTAAAACATTAACCAGCCTCAAGCACAGACACCTTATTAGCTTGATATGTAAATCTAAACCATTCTTTGCAACCTTTCTTTCTCTTATGATTGAATACAGAAACCCTACGTGACCTCTGTTACCTGTAAGTTGATCATGTGACATGTTACCTAATTCCGTGACAATACCGTAACTACAATAACTTTCTTAATTTTCCCGCATTTTTAGTAAGGTTAGTAACGCTTGCACCCTTTGACCTTTTAACCGTCCTCGTATATACTGTCACTTCCTTAGTCTGGAGTCGACATAATACTTCCTGCCACGACGAGGATGGTCAGCTGGTACAACTTCCACAACTGCGGTCCTCCTCCTTCTAGTAATAAAATAAAGGAAAAATGTCCCCTGTTAAGATTCTGAGCTGTTGCGGACGGTTTGATTACGAACTGCATGTATGGCTCTGTGTGTGTGTGTGTGTGTGTGTGTGTGTGTGTGTGTGTGTGTGTGTGTGTGTGTGTGTGTGTGTGTGTGTGTGTGTGTGTGTGTGTGTGTGTGTGTATGTGTGTGTATGTGTGTGTATGTGTGTGCGTGTGTGTGTGTGTGTTGTGTGTGTGGGGGGGTCCGTAAAATTTACATTGTTTATAAACAATCTAAATGTGTATTAACCTGATATTTGATATCTTAGACAACATGAAGCAATATCAATCATTTCTTTCATTTGTAACCAAAACATTTCATTACTAATAAAAACATAGTATTTTTATATATACATCTTCGCATTTTATTTTAGTACTTCAGTACTATCAAGCTTAAGGAATGATGATACGGTATTGTAACCAGGGGCGTCACTTCATGTTATGAGTTGGGGGGATGACGGGTAAATTTGCCCTGAAAAAATAATTTTTGCCCTGCAAATCACGAAAAAGAAAATGTTCACTAGCTCTTTATAAGTAGCCCGGAATGGACCATCAACCAGTATTTACAAATGATAAATGAACAAAACAAAAAACCTAAATACTTAACTAGAAACTTCTTACAATACCAAAAAACAAGAAATCTATAACGAATAGAATAGGGTTCAAAAATTAATTTCGATAGTTTAGACATTAGACACTTTGCGCCAGAAAATGTTATAAATCAAATATCATCAACAATTAGTTTCATATAGTTTTTGATATATCTTGAATACTTATCGGCTATTGAGACAGATTCCGTAAGAGAAAATTTGCCCTGCAAAAAGAGGCTTTTTTAAAAGTTGGGGGGTGAACCACCCCCCATACCCCCCCTTAAGTGACGCCCCTGATTGTAACTATTATCAGCTTTGTTAAATTGTTACTGCACATTATCATATAGGTAATAAGAATGACAAAAACAGAAATAATATTTCCGTTAATAATTTTAAAAACTAATATCTAATTAGGATTTTTTCACCTTCCCAATCTTCAATATTCATAACCTATAACACGCACTATACTGTGCACCGATGGTTTTCACTACCTTCATTTCCAAGTTTGTTTCGTATCACTGTGAGAATATGTCAAAATGTAGAAAGAAAAATTCTCTCTCTTGTACGTCCCTCACGATCAGAAAGGGATAGTTATATTATATTTCCTGAATTCTCACACTCCTTATTTATATCCTTGAAAACACATAAATACACCCCTTCGCCGTTTGGTCGTCCAAGACCCTCCCTTCAACGTGTGATAATTTTTCTGTAACGTTGAAAGGAATGTTGAAAGTAAAAAACTCTCTTGCAACTTGTATGTCTAATAATGTTTTTTCTCCGCTTCTGTTATCTTCTGTATAACTCGATCCGTTTTCTGTACTAAAGAATGAGAAGAACACACGAGTCAGCAGAATCAACTTTCACTTCTTTTCAGTGGTGGTCCTTGTACTAAAGTGACCCTCCGATGACTGCTCGCCAGGTCTGTCTACTTTTGATATACTGAGTACAGTATTATAGGGTTGTGATACTTTATATACATTAAATGTCTATAAATGCTCACTAGCCTGCTGGATATTATCTTGTGCAAGTGTCTCTGTAAGTTAGCATACATGCTTTTACAACTATATGCATGGAGCATTATGTATAAAAAAAGCATATCCAGTGTAGTGTAAATTGTAGTATGCACATTATTGATAATGAGTAAACAAGTTACCCTTAGTGTA